CTGTCGGATAACAACAGGAAATTGAGACTACAATTCGCACAGTCTCACCAGAATTGGACAATAGAAGATTCGAAAAAGGTTGCCTGGTCTGATGAGTCTCAATTTCTGCTGCGACATTTAGATGGCAGGGTCAGAATTTGGTGTAAACAACATGAAAGCATCCATTCTGCCTTGTATCAGTGGTTCAGGCTGGTGGTGGTGTAATGGTGTGGGGGATATCTTTTTGGCACTCTTTGTGCCACTTAGTACCAACTGAGCATTGTTTACACGCCACAGGCTACCTGAGTATTGTTGCTGACCATGTCCATCGCTTTATGACCCCAGTGTACCAATCTTGTGATGGATACTTCCAGCATGACGAGGCGCATGACACAAAGCTTAAATGATCTCAGACTAGTTTCTTGAACATGACAATGAGTTCACTATACTCAACTGGCCTCCACAGTCGCCAGGTCTAAACCCATTAGAGCACCTTCGGGATGTAGTGGAATGGAAGATTGACATCATGGATATGCTGCCAACAAATCTGCAGCAACTGTTTGATGCCATCATGTCAATATAGACCAAATTATCAGAGTAATTTCCAACACTTTGTTGAATCTATGCCATGAAAAATTCTGAGTTGTTCTGAATGCAAAAGGCAGTCCAACCCGGTACAAGCAAGGTATACTTAATAAAGTGGCCAGTGAGTGTATATATCACAAACGGTGTACTTTCAGGCACCCCTGGACTAGCTGGAATACACCTCCCTAGACAACACCTGGCACTCATTTTATGCTCTGAAAACTCACAGGTTTGAAGTAAATCAACTGTGTTTAGACCTAATGTAAAAACCTTCTCGGCCAATGAGTGAGAAAGGAGACTATCTATAACATTTATATAATTGGTGTCAGTGGGTTTAGCGGCTTCAGCATTGAATGACATTTGACAAGCTCAAGCAACATTGTTCTCACACGCAAGACTTTAGAGTGATTCACAGACTAGAACTAAATCTACTGGAATATAAGGTTGGAAAAGAGCCAAATGCTTCCCTCCCTTAGGGATCAGCCCTCAAACAAGCGTAAAGCACATGGATTAGATAGTGGGTGATGTAACACCACAATAATGACTCATTCAGTGCTAACTAACGTTAATCAATGCTGGCAGTTGGGGCGCAGATCTAGCTCTTTAAATGGCATTTACATTGCATATGAAGCCTTGAAAGGCTAACCTGGAAGAAAGAAATGGAGAGGGGCACACTGAAATGAAGGACAAAATTGCATCAGTTTAGCTATAATGAAATTGTATCTTCACGTGCTTTGTTGCCACCACCCAAAAGCTTGTTTAAGCCTTCGATAATGCAATTTCCTGCCAACCTCACCGTCTCAGAGAGATGTGATTTTTACTTGAAACAAGAAACCGAAATGATGCAATTTTTCTGTGAAATAAAACAGAAAACACAATACTTTAAGGGCGCTGCATCAATTGTGAAATTCCCAAGGGACTGACATGGCAACACCACAAAACAATTCCAAGTCAGGCCTTTACCAGCTTTATTCTGTATAAAAAAAACTGCACAAACAAAAGTTCCCTTTTTGTTTCTCATACTGATGAAAGCATTCGTGACATGGAGACACATCTGTTTTTCAAACGTCTGTGTGACAAGAGAAAAAAAGGCTTGGGATTGAATCATATTAGGTGTGCAAAGCAACATGGCCTTCACATTTTCAGAATCAAGAAGAGTTTGTATCATAAAGAGTTTATAAATTAAATCTCAATAATCCAAGAAACAGACAGTATTACAGAATAGCAGGAACATGTATTGGTACAGAAACATTATATACTGCAGTATATTATAGATATTATATATAAAACTATTTTAAAAAAATATGAATTTGCATATTGCACATGTTTGTAACAAAGAGGTTCTTTGATACTTTCAGAAGCCATTCATTCCACTAACAGTTGTTTGACTGGCACTTGAAATCAGACTTGGGCACGGATTGAAATCTGCCATCTTTCCTCATATCACATTGCAGTTGGAGGGATATGACATCCACAAGATGGGATTCACACACAGTCCCAAGCCCTCTATTAGTTAGTGACAATACTGAGCTGTGATGTGAAATATTCCTGTCAATTTCACGCTTTTAATGCCCTTCAAAAAAAACAAAAAAAACAAGGCGGCGTGTAAAATGTCTAACACACTACATGTTCCCTCAATCACCCAATAATCCTGGTAACAATCTTGACCCTCCATTGTAGCTAACTTCTGTCTAATCTGGCAGCCGAAAGCAACTAGAGCATTTACAGAACAGACTTAATCACCAAGTAGAAGTGAACTGGTTGAACGGAAGTGCATTCTCCAAATTACAGTTTGATAACATTGCTCTGTCAGTTTGAATTCACTTTCGCTAAAGATTGTTGTTTTATTATTAACGCTTTGTAACTTTTTTACTTTGTATCTGTTGTACTTTAAAAAAAAGGCACGGACATAGTTAAACAGCAGCTGTATAGCTACAAATTTAAATATGGTGGTATCAGGAAAAAAAACTCTTTCCATCAAATTCTGCAATACACCATTTAATACGCATTTCTAATAAGAGCCTGTAGACCCGGGGACATTTCTGAAGCATAATGCCTCATGTTAACAGCTATTCTCCGCAACCATTACCCTATAAATCTGTGCATTGCCTTGGTTGATAGAACGTCAAGGGAACAATAAGCTGGAAACTAATTGAACCAGCTGACAAAATTGCTGACAAAGATTCAAAACTCAAACGATCAAGAAATTAAATGCAAAACTTGTAGCATTGTTGTGTAAAAGGAAACTGTTTAACATTTCAAAAACATTATTTATACGCTTGATGGAAAGTGTTTTGAATGGACAGTTCAACATTTTTCTTAAGCTCTATTTTAAGTCTTATTTTGCTTCATATGTGTCACAGTGATACTACAAGGAAATAACTCTGTATGCCAATGCTCTACGAGACTGAAACATGCAGTGGATTCTGCGAATGCTCAGCAGATGTTGCCACGGCAGAAGTGTTATCATGCCATACATCATGAAATAAAAAGTCAGAATTATGTCAAAAGAAATTGTCATAGACTTTTTGTTATTGTTTGACATACCATAAATATGATTTTTTTTTGTACATTTATACATTTTGACTTTTTATGTGCCTTTTTTTCTTAGATTGCAGAAATGCATTTGTCTTTGTGAAGAAAATCCTACATAGGGTGGTGACTTAAAAATGTTGCTAAAAAGATCAAGATCTCTGCTTTCCCTCGAAAATATTAAATCTCTGAGTTAATTTTTTTAGATGGATCAGAAGTATTTGAAGTTTGAGACTGACAAAAAACATGCTTTTGCAAAATTTGTAGCATTTCACTGCCTCTTATGAATTAAAGATGTACTTTATAGCATAGAAACTCCCCAAAAAATAAAAAAATAATTTAGGAATTTATGTAAACAAGGGAATAGGCAAAGGCATTCTGGTTTCTGAGTGAGTGCTCCATTGCCCAGTGTTGCCTGTGACATTTCATGGCTGCTGGATGTAATCAGCACCTGTTTGCCAAATTCATTTCCTGCACTTCCAGCATTCCAGCTGTTCCTTGTAGTAGTGTGGTGATATGCATACTCAACTTCACTCACTGATAATGTGCATTCAAGATATGCAGCAGACATGTGTTGACAAACAAATGGGCAAATTACAATTATTGATCCATTTGTCATGCTCTGCATATCCCACAATTCCAATTTTTACTGCACGTGAAGCATAAGTGAACCTACAGCAACTGACGCCAATCAAAGCACTACAGAAGTTGTCTCATGATGTAATGCCTTTTTCTCTTTTAAACCTAAACTTGTTATCAAATCAGCGATCATGAATCAAATACATTGTTTCTTCCCATGTGTGACTGAGATGCTGGAAATGATTGAGATGCTTTGTCTGATATGTTCTGATATTTGAACATGTAACTGGTGCACAAAATGTTCTACAAGACATTGAAACTCAAAATTCTCAAGTGATGTTTTATGGTACAAACTTTTGTTTTTTACTGTACAATGGTCATTAGTCCCAGTCACAGAACATACAGACAAGCAACCAACTGATCATCCTTTACAGGTCTTCATCAAGTGCTCATAATGGGCAAAAAATAAAAAATCCACCAGGGGCAACATGAGTTACAAAGAATTGGGTGACTATATTATTTACAACTATTATTTATTATTTATAACTATCCTCAAATGTAACCTCTACAGGTAGCCTACATGGTACTATAGTATAATCAATTAAAAATCAAATACATTAAAGTGAAGTTATAATTTACTACTGATTATTTATCCACACATAAATTAATTCTTAAATACACAGTTTCAGGAAGGACCTATCTTATACGGTGGCATTTTTGTATAGATTTACTTACATAATTAATTCCAATATAGCTGGTAGTTCTGTAGTGGATTGTGATAGCGATGATTAATTAGGTCATTGCTGAACTGCCCAAATTAAATTAGAAAAAATGGTGGGAACTGACTAAAAAACATCTAATGCATCACTGATTACATAAACTCTCTCCTTGTAATCAGGTGCAAGATTTTCTTGTTGATGCAAACAAACAGTGACTGAACACAGTGAAGAAACCAAATGCCTGGCAACATCCCCAGTGGTAACCCTTTCTATGTGTCCTATATCCACACTATATCCTATATATGCACTGTATAATGCATTATAGAGGTCTTCATTTTTATAAAAGTATTCCCATTCATACTTGTAAACAACTGTAACCAGTTAAAATTTACCTTTCACTATTCACCTTTAAAGAGCATTAAACACACATTGTTATTTGTGATCAACATTTAAGTAAGCATTATAATGTGTTATATATGTGGTTACAATTATTTACAGTACAACATAAATCTGATTATAAGGTGCAGTGAAAGTCATTATGAATAATATTATATTTAATATAATATATATAACCTTTGCATTTCAATGTATAAGCACACATCGGTGGGTCAAAATTTTCAACATGAAATGAATGGATAACTATATAGATTATCTGAATATGGTAAATTATGTAAATTATATAATTTTTAGAATTCTAAACCGTCCAACATTTCAACAATTGTGGGCCACAGAAGATCCCTTTCAGCAGATGCATCAAAAATGAATAGTTCATAATTCAAACTGTGCATCAATAAATAATATAAGCATATTTTTCATTTAAAAAAGGGAATCTTCTGGTTTTCTGCATTTTTTGGCAAAAATATACAGGTTTTCCAAAAACCTCTCACTTTGTAGCATTATCACAAAGCAGCAGTAGCACCATAGCAGTGTGATACACCTGTAAGAATACAGCAGATGATCAGATGTTCCCATGGTTTATCGTCTCTGTACCTCTCCTGCATGTAAAGCTTAGTCCCTCCGGATGAACCAGGTCTACATGGATCCTTCCAAGAAGAACAGATGTGTCATTCAAAACACACACACACAAAAAGCAAACTACAGACACACTCAAAGTCTTTTAGCTTCCCCATGTAGAGGGAACGTTTATGTGTTCCAGCGAAGTCCGATGTGAGTTGCAAGCAGGTAGCACATGCCTATCGTGCAGGTCATCAGCATCATGGGGAAGCCCAACCTGTGAAATGGAGCACAGTGAAAATTAATATTATGAGTCCCTACCTGAAAGTTCCTATGAAGATGAAAATTGAACCTTAGAAAGCCTGTAAAACCCACTCTGTTAGAAGGGGAAATTCAATCCAAAGCTTTTGGGAAAAGAATCTGCGACACAGTGTTTTGTCATATTGATGCTTGGTGTTTTTTTCTTAATGAAAGGCTGTATTCTTGTGTTCTACTTAAAGTTCATCCCTCAACATCACCCAGCATCTCTCTTTGTTTCATTCCTCCTTTGTTGCTCATATGACGATTTCTGAGCAGTTTTGCATTATTCCCACTTCTGTAGTGCATTTGTTTATGTGTGTGTGTGTGTGTGTGTGTGTGTGTGTGTGTGTGTGTGTGTGTGTGTGTGTGCAACATTACACACTAACTAACATTAAAAAAGTGAAATCGCAATGAACCACCCCTTTAAACATTATGGCAGAGTCAAATGCAGGGGACAGTAGCATTAAAAGTATGATCTCCAGGCATTAACGGTGAAGTCAAAGGCTGGAGATGCAATAGACTGGTGATACTCGTCCGCCCATTTAACATAAGCTGCTTTCCTCAAAGCCGTCAACTCTCAGAGACGTGTGGACCATCCTTCTTGTGCTCGCTTGTAAAAACATCCATCTGGAGAGTGGAATTACCATTATAATTACAACTGGACACTGGCCTAATCTCCACACTCGATCGGCATGCATCTGTGCCCTTCTGACCCTCGGTTCAACATGCTACGTCTCATCTGTCCATGAGGATTATACTACAACCATCCAACCTCACATATTAACAGTAGAACACTCTGTTGAGCAAATCAGTACAAAATACATTTTTGAAAACAACAGATTATAAATAGAAGTGGACAGATTATAAAGGGAAAATGGACAATAGCACCCATCCAAACATACTGAGAACTATATAATCTGTTTTCAAAACAATGCCTGTGCCCAACCCTCCCTTTATCAAATAATCAAGACCAATATACAGTGGGTACGGAAAGTATTCAGACCCCCTTAAATTTTTCAATTTTAAGTTGCAATAGTTCATGTCTTTAGTGAGCCATTAATTTGAATGTTGCTATGACTGGGTTATTGAAACAAATCAGGAAATTAATCTATCTTTTGAACTAGTTCTTTAAAATGAATAAGTTGATTCAGTTGACAAATCAGGCTTACCATTTTGTTCACAAATCAGAATGATTTGTTCATGTATCTAAATGATTTGTTCATGAACTGGAATTGCCTCATTGATTCAATTATCTGGTTTCAGCAGTTCTCCATTTAACAGCTCACCGGAGGGGAAGATTAAGATTATCAGCAAATAAAGAATTTCATTAATTTAAAATATTGTACACCGGTCATGTGGACTGCATTTGCAGTACTGTACATTTAACAGATTTCTAAGATTAAAGACCCATATGAGGATTCTATATAATCGTCATTATACTATTTTCTAGACCTTAGTCAGGTTAGAAGCCATTTTGATGAAAACGAGGCTATGAGGGATAACCTTACAGTCTTTACAATAGCATGCATTGTATAAAAGTCCAAGATTATGTAATTTTCAAAACTCACAACTTTCAAAATTGTTTTAAGGAGTTTTGTCTATTGAAAGTTTTGTCATCTAAACAATCAATATATTATTAAACAATAGTACAATCCATTAATCACACTGTACTTCTATCCCTTAAAGCCTCATTTTGCCTCGTTTTCATTCTTAGTCCCTGACTAAAGTCAATAGTTTAATAATGGCATATGAGTAAACATATGAAAACATTTACTCTGTCTTATTTTTGCCCCACAGCCTGCCGATCTGAGTTCTCTATCTTTTTACAGAACACTAAAAATCCACATGCAGTTTTAATGATTTCTGTTCTGTTTACTTCTCTGATAGTTCATAAATGTCAGATCTTGTTGCTGAATAAAAAGTCCTGTAAAAGGGATTCTGAAATGAATAAATGAGTGAAAGAGCTGCTGAGAGGACAAAGCACTTGTGAGGATGAAAGCTCTGGACATCCATTTATACTGAGTGCATACCTTCAGCAGCCCAGTGGATACTGACTGAGTGCATGGGTAAATACAGGGCATTTGGGGCATAGAGAAATCAACAAGCTCAGAAGAGAAAGTGGCCACTGATTGAGAGGACGATGGAAAGCAAAAGGATGATTAAAAAAAAGAGCAAAAAAAGCCAGTAAACGAGCCAGAGAGGGAGAAACAAGTTTTCCTGATAATGTTGCACAACACAATCTTAAACCAAACAACTCGTCAAAAAAGTGCTAAGTTGAGATGTTCCTTAAAGGAATAGTTCACCCAAAAAAGAAATTTGCTTAAAATTTACTCAGGCCATCCAAGATGTAGATGAGTTTCTTCATCAGAACAGATTTGCTGAAATTTAGCATTACATGACTTGCTCACCAATGGATCCCTCTGGAGAGAATGGGTGCCGTCAGAATGAGAGTCCAAACAGCTGATCACAACAATTATCACAAAACATCACAATAATCCACAAGTAATCCACGTGACCACTACTACAGTCCATCAATTAACATTTTGTGAATCAAAAAGCTGTCTGTTTGTAATAAATTCATTATTATTAAAAGTTTTCAAATTCAATCAATTGTTTCCAGCTAAAATTTGAGTCCTCTATCCATATTATTGTTTTCTCCAGTGAAAAAGTTGTCTTGACTGAATCAGGAAAGAAATTTCACTTTTTTTTAGAACACTTTCACAAATGTTCACTTTTGGGTTAACTAGCTATACCTCTAAGTTCAAACAATAGATCATGCTGCTAGCAATTCGGAGATCATGGGTTCAATTATCATGAACTGATAAAATATACTCCTAATGTGTTGTTTTGAAAATGTCTGTGAAATGCATAAATGTAAAGCAAAAATTAACTTTAACCAGAATTGTAGCCAATTAGTTTCTCCCTTCAACACACACACACACACACACACATACACACACACACACACACACACACACACACACAAAAGGATTTGAAATAAGGAATCGGTGAAAGAGTCAATAGAGAAAGGGGGCTGTCAAAGCACACAAATCTAGACAGAAAATGAGACATGAGGGTAATAGCGTAATACAATCCCACATGGAATAGTGTCCTCCAGCACTTCCTGTCTTTTACTTCATCTCTTTCTAACGTTCTCTAAAATTAGATTATTGGAAAGCACATATTTTAAGACCTATTAATGTAAGTATGGCAAAAATCACAGCTGGTCCAAGGAACAAACCAGGTGTTCAGTATCCAGAAGGCAGGTGGGGAGGCTAAATGCTGGATTGTAGAAGGAACAGGTATTATCTGTATAAGGAGGCATTTGTGTGACATACATCAAAGCAGGTGCACATGCCATGGATGTGAGGGCAGGTCAGCCGGCTAATACACAATTTGAGTGATGTGAATGAAGCAGCCAGGTGACTGATTCATAAGTAGTGAAGTGGACATGTGCAGTGAAACACAGGGTTTCGAGGGTGTGAGTTGTACAATCTGAAAAGCAGCTCCACATGTGGTTTGTTAAACTGGCTGAATAAATAGCACATTGAATGGCACTAAGTACTGCATAAACCATACTAAAATGAATTAGAAAATTTTCTTCTTTAAAGGCCTAATGAAAGGAAGAGTAATGTGACTAAAAGTCTTGCAAAGGTGACACAAATCCATTATGACCATTTGGAGGACAAAGATGACTCCAACATGCGTATTGAGGCAGTCTTTCAAGCTGTTCAATGCATGACATTCACATATATTCATTTAGCAGATTTTTTATCTAAAGTGACACAATGATCTTTTTTTTACACTACGGGGGCAATCAGAGTCAGTAACCTGAGTTTAAATACCTTGCTCAAGGGCACAATGATGGCAGCTCATTAATTGTGCCTTCTTGGTTTTAAATCGACAAGGTTTCAATTATAAGCACAGGTATTTTACTATTTTTACCATCGCAACACCTATATACATGATTAAAAACAATTTTGAGTTAAAACCATAACAGTGAAATGCTCAAAAAACAACGTGAGACCCAATAGGCAAACATTGTAAGGTCACCTGAATGATCAGCTTGCTCTTATATGAATTTCTAGTAATACATTACATGTACAAAAATGCATTTCAAGTTGCAATTGACTAACAGCTAACCCACAGCATGCTAATAGGGTTCAAAGTTAAAACCTTTGAATTATAAGCTGAGATCTTTACGGGTAAACCACAACACCCATATGCATGACCTTGGGGGAAAATCTGTTTTGAGTTGAGGGAAAAATTTATGATTCTTTTATCCATTTTGTCCACCCTTACTTGCTCAAGGCTATCGACTATGTGGCATATTTGTATTAAAAACCCTCAACATCTCAAACATGTGATGAGATAAGGAACAGCTATCTGCCTAAATCTCACCCACTCTCACTACAAGATTGCTGATGTACACAACATTTCCGTACGACTGTGAAAACCTATCTCATGTGGCTCAGAATGGCAATTTTTAGTTGTAACTGGAGAAAAAAAAAAAGAGGAAAACCATTAAAACTAGGGAAGGAAACGACTCTCAAAGTCACACAAAGATACGGTAGTGAGTGGAAATTAAGGTCAGTGTTGATTAGGCCTGATATTTCATACATTACTATAAGTGCTATCATTGTCATCATTCTGTACTTTTCAAAAGGGACACACCAGATGGTTTGTCATTTGGACATCCATCATTATCTTAAATGCCAGTGTTAGGGGGCACATGATGGATTTTGAAGGCCAAAGTGGCTTGGCATGGAACTGGGAATAACAATGTGATCCAAGCTCTGGGTTTGTTTGTACAATAGGCCAATGATTGCCCATGGTTACACACACACATGCTGCTTTTCTCCTCTGTACAAGCACAGAAATATAAGTATATTCATATTATACAGATGAGGGAAAGAGACAATTGGGAATGGAAAATAGGAATGTGCAAAACTGCATATTGAAATTGGATAGTATAGG